AGGATGCAAGACGATGAATAACTTACTTATATAAAAAGGAATTGAGGTAAGAGGAAAGTGGTGCAAGATGCCAAAATTTATACCTGCCACTAAGTGCAAAAGAGACAAAAAGGCATAATATATTTTTATATCAATTAAGAATGCAAATCATAATCACAAACAAATAAAAGCAAAACTACAGTAGGTATAAATTTTGCACCCAATGAAAATTTGCACTGTAACCAATCGCAGTCTAAAAGTTTTTTTTTAGGCTCCGTTTGTTTGTGATACAAATGCTAAACCGAGGTATTTATGTATCTCGGTTCATATTTGTGAGTGTTTGTTTAATATGTAAAAAAGTAATGATTATTAGATCAAAAATGTATTTTCTGACACTTTTGTTTTTTGAGAAGAGAACATTATTATACTTATTTTTTAAATATAATTTTGTGTTCTTTTGATAATTAACTTTTGACCAAAAGTTAAGGCATTGGAGCATAAGTAGATCTGGCAAAAAGTTGACCTAATCTGTGAACCCGACCCAACCCAACCCAAAAAAACAGGTTAGGGTCTCATATTTGCTACCCGAATGTGAAAATGACCCGACCTGACCCAACCCGAAAAAACTGGGTTGGGTTGGGTTGGGTCATGGGTCAACCCGTTGACCCGATTGTCAAGTCTAATTGGGATTATTTATGCATTGTTAGAAGTTTCCACTATTTAATTTTTTCTATTTAGTCTTTACTTTTTGTTGTTTACTCTTTAAATTGTTAAATGTTCAAGTTTTTTATTTTATATTTGGAATTTTAAGGTTAATTCTTTTAATTTTGACATTTTTCATTTATATTTTTTATTTTTTTAAATTTCAATTATTTTTTGGGATGACCCGAATTGACCCATGGGTCAACCCTAACCCGAATATTTAGGGTTAGGGTCTAACATTTGACAATCCAACCCGACCCGAAATCAACACAAAGCACTTTGACCCAACCCGAACCCGACCCTCCCAAACCAATTGCCAAGTCTAAGCATAAAGATAGTTGGAGCATTTAATGATGGACCCACACTTTGCACCGATTTCAAACAAACAAGATGAGTGCAAAAATGATTTCTAATGTGAACTTTGTTTTCATTCATGAACCAAAAAAAGGGTAAAGTGTACACATTTGCGTTTGCATTGCAACCAAATGCAGCCTTAATAATGATGATGATGCATGCAAAAGTTGAAATACTTGAAAAAAATCCTAAGGCTGTTTGGTTACAATGTAAATAAATTTGCACATATGTAAAATCATGGCAGTGCAATGTGCAAATGATTTGAATGAAAATTTTGACTTATTTTTGTTTCAAATTTTAGCTTATTTTGTTTGATTACGATACAAATGAAATAAATTAAGACCTAAAGCAAAATAAAATAAAATCCAAAACAAAATTAAACAAAAAATTTTACATTTGCACTCTCATGCAAATGGCAATGCAACCAAACACAGCCCAATTAATAGTCTATCTTTAAATAAGGACAGGCTAACCTCTCTAATAATAGCAGTAGCAACTGACACCATATCTTCTCCTCAATCGAAATTCTCAAGCAGGAAGACTTCTCCTTCAAACATGTTGCTTGGTTTCTAGGCCTCCTGAACTGTCAAAAAATCAATAAAATGGACTGAAATATTGTGGATCCCATCTCATTAATCCAAAAGCATGTTGCTTCCTACTTTAATCACAATCAAATCATAGGACAAATCTAATTTACTTTCCCCAAGTCATAGGACAAATAAAAAAATCCAACCCAAAGAATTTTAGCTTTAGGACCTATTACATTGATGGATCATCAAATCCCATCCCCAAAATAAAAACCTATTTTAGTTTTTCAAGGGATTTAGAAAATCATATCCTAGGGCTTCTAATAGGGCCGTTAATAACGGTTGATATAGTTTAACAATATATATCGTGAGGTTTGAAAAAATTATTTAATATTTTTGTTTTAAATTTTATTTATATATACTTTGTTGACCTTTCAAAGCTTAAGTTGAATAAGTAAAACATAAAAGAACAGAAGTGTGTCCTTAACAGTTCATTAAATTTTCAAAACATGCCCTACGCTCTTTCTCTTCTTCTTCTTCCTTCCTCTCAATTCAATTTCAGCTTCGTAGCCCTCACAACCTCCCAAATAACTTTTTCACTAAAAAACAAAATAATAAGTCATTTAGTTCAACCACTTCATACTTAGATATGTAGTTGGTCTCAAAGAGGGATTCTGTGTATTTTAAAAGGAGTTAAAAATAATTTCTCTATTTTAATATTTATTATAAAATTTCTTTATATAAAACTTATGTATGTTCTCATTTGGTTTGTGTATAGTGATTGTGCTACTCTGCTAGAAAAAACCATGATGTGAATTTGGAAAATAGTTGCTGACCCCGAAGTTTGAATTGTCACTTGGATTCCTCTAAAGAGGAGGAGCAGGATAAAATTCACGTAACTGTTGGCTTTCCATGGTAAGGTCAGCAGACCTCATGTGCACCCTACTCTCTTCCCAACCCACGAGTCTCCTTTAATATATGTCAAGTAATACCTAGGGGTGAGCAAATGGGTTGGTTCTACCTAGAATTGGATGAAACTTACCTCAAACCAGCCTTGGCAAGGTCAGTTTTAATCAGTTTTTGAGTAGGGTACGTTGCAAATTCTTGGAACCAACACCCACTCAAGCCATACCTAGGGTCTAGGGATATACCTTACCTGAATTGACCTAGAGAACTGGCTTTGATTGGCCTTGAAGGAACCACCACCCACTCGCCACTCTTGTCCCCACAAAAATCCCTACCAATGAAGATAAGGTTCTCTCCATCCTGCAGGCGGGGATCCCCATTGCCCGTGATTTTTTTTTATTTTATAATGTTAAATTCATTTTATTTCTATTTTTATTTTTATTTTTATTTTAAAAAATTAAAAGTAAAATAGTTACAATTCATAATCCTATTGAAATGAATCCAGATATATTCAAACATATTCAACCATATTTTAAAAAAATATTAATTGACATACATAAACATACATACATACATATTCAACAACGGGCAGGGAGGAGTATACCACCGTGAATACCACTAGAGCTGGGGAAATATCGCCGGAGAGAAAAACTTGAGCGGTTGTTCGTTCAATTGCCGAAGGGAGCAATGGAACCCTAACAAACTTCTGAAATCTCCAAATGGTTTCATAAGCTCTTCGAACAAATTTTTGAAATCTCCAAGTGAGAATTGGACCCCTTTCGATCAACGGTTCTGTCCAATTTTAGTTTGTAATATAAATATATATGGACCATTTATATTTGGACCAATCCGTTCTGTCCAATAACACCTTTCAGTTGGACGGGGTCCAACCCGAAACTGGTTCATTGACACCCTTAACTACAACCAGCCAGGGCTAGGGGTGAGCAAAAAAAACCAAAAAAATCGAACCAAAAAAACCAGCGGTTAATCCAACCGACCGGTATACATATATTTCTATATATTTTATATATATTTATGTATATTATATATTTTTATATATTATAAATTAATAACTATACATTATATATAAATATATATATATAATATGTGATATATTATTTATTATTTAAAATGTAATATTTTATACTTTTATAATTTTTCATTATATATTTATAATAAATATTGTAAAAATTAAAAAACAGAAAAACCGACAACTAATTGATAGATTTCGGTTACCAGTTTTCCAAAAACTGATACTACCGGTTTGATTACAAAATGAGCCCCCACCCCCTAACCAGGGCCTTATCAACTAAGCTAATTGTCACCTTTTGAAAGCATTAGCAAATGGAGTCAAATCTACAATTTAGGGGGCATTCCACGATGTGAGTGCTTTTGTTTCGCCATGAGAGCAAAAATAAGGCACTCATGTTTGGATTTTAACCTAAAGACATTTGAAAAATAATTAGTCCATATATATATATATATATATATATATATATATATATGCAAGAAATGATCAACACCTCTAGGATATCAAACCGCATCCTCATAAGCTTCTAAGCAAATTGAATTAGTTTCTATTACACTATAATGCACTTGTCAATGATGATTCAAAATATGTTGCCTCGTCCAACGTGAACCGTTAAGACTTTCATGCTTCTTATAAATTATATGTGATGGAAGGTAAGTCCCATCTCCCTCCTATAATTTACTTTTGTGTTTTCTACATGTTATAGGCAAGTTTCTTGTCAATTTTGAGCATTTACAGTTGGCATCAAAGCCTTCCGGTCTCTGACATGTACAAAACCATAGTTCGGTTACGTTCTATGCATATTATGTTGAGACTTTGTTTGATTTCAAAAATTGTGTTTTAAGCATTTTCGAACCTGAAAACAAGTAAAAAGTATGCTAAATGTGTTTGTTTTGTTTTTAAGGCTGTATTTGGTTGCAATGCAAATAAATTTGTACTGATGCAAAACTATGACAGTACAAATGATTTGAATATAAATTCTGACCTATTTTGGTTTTAAATTTTAGCTTATTTTGTTTGATTGCAATACAAATGAAGCAAATTAAGACATGAAGGAGAATAAAGTAAAATCCAGAACAAAATTAAGTTTATATACACTAAAACCAACAATTCAATTATAAATACTTAGAGAGGTAATTTTATGCAGTGGGGAGGGTTGGGTTTGCTTAATTCCATATACCTACATGAATATAGTAAAATCCTGAAATTGCCATCCATAAGGAGGTGATCTTGTATGGAGGTGAAAGGCCCCAAACATGGGAGTGGCCACCACCACATTTTTATGATTGCACTCTATCCAAACATTAACATTATGCAATAAAGCAAGTTTCCTTTTCTAGTGCCTTTTTATCCCCAGTGTGCTTGTATGGTTTTGATTTTCCTTAGCTATAAATCCATTGAGAATTGTCGACTTGAGTTAACCTTATACTCAAGTCTTAATAGAGTAGTGAGGCTTGCTGTTTGTGGAACAAGAAGAGCGTCACACAACTTTGGCTTTAGCATAGTAAAGTGACAAGACACAAAGATTTGATTCATTTCCTGTAAATGGCACTTACAATTTTTTTTATTCATCTAGCTTTAATTAATATTTCATAGAAGTACAGATTTAGAGCCATGGAGAATTATGGATGGGGGTTACAACAGACTTCACTTGGAGATACTTGTCAAGGCTGTTTAATCCGTTGTCCCTTCCAAACCCACTCATCTTATACCCACCATAAGGACAATCATTGTCAAAGGCAAAGTAGCAATTGATCCAAATGATGCCAGCACGAATCGATCTTGAGACCCTGTTGGCCAGATTCAAGTCCTTGGTCACAATTCCTGCCGCCAGGCCATATCTTGTGTTGTTGGCTCTCTCAATTGCTTCCTCAACACTCCTAAAATATTACAATGCATATCAGAAGAGTTAATCCAGTATTATGTTACTACCTGACCAACAAAGATTTTCTATATATGCTTTCTGAAGAATGGGAAATTGAATAGAAGATATTCATTGTAAAGCATATTCTCTAATTCTAAGATTAAAGAAAGAAAAGGCCATTACCCAGTGTTATCTGGGGTCTTGGGAGGGGGTGGATTGGATGGGGCTGCTTTTCGGTTAGACTCAAACCCATGTTCTCCCGCTTGGCAGCCCAAGGTTTTAACATTACACCAGTAATGGCCCCCATAGGTTCTTATTCTAAGATATTTATGCAAATTCTTCAATTGGATCGAGAAAATTAAACTTACTCGAACTTCATGAGAGACATCACAGGTCCAAATATTTCATCCTTTACTACCAGCATATCCTCCTGGCAATGTCATTCAAAATGACAAAAGAAAAAACCCATTGTTGTTAAATTTTCTTTTAGGATCTCACTTTGCAAACAATGGAATGATGGAATACAAAAGTCATAATGAATAACATTACTATACACATGTGAGAGCCGAGATGGTGTACCTTGACGTCTGTGAAGATTGTGGGCTCAATATAGTAGCCCTTCTCACAGCAGGGTTTACCGCCAGTCAACAAGGTGGCTCCCTCCCTCTTGCCATGCTCAATATAGGAAAGGATTTTATCAAATTGTGTCTTATCAACCTGCACCAAAGAGGAAATTATACACGCTGAATTTTTGGCACTACCTCATCAATATTGCTAACCACATTCATCATTGATTCATGGGATTCAATATTTCACAGCGATAATGGGGAACAGAGAAGAAATAAACTGAATTGGCTAGCCATTATGTTAAAACCAGCTCACTATTATCAGAGACTATGCTGTCTCCTTTGTAGTGGCTCGAGGTGTTTTCTCCTTTGGAGGCGGATGCTTTATCACTACTGGAGGCTCTTAAATTGGCTGTTTCTCTCCATCTTCATCATGTGTTTGTCTAAGGGGATGCTCAAGTTGTTGTTAAAGCCCTGTTGGAGGATTCTTCACTTCCTCCATGTATTATCAACATAACGTGGATAGCAGGGTTCACTTTAGCAGAAGAGGCAAATAATGGAATGGGTTCCATTATTGCAAGTACATTTTCTCAGCAGAGCTTTGCACAATACTCAGATTACAATGATCTTAACTCAACTGACACCTACATCTTGAGAGTTAACATCTAATGAACCAGGGCTGTTTTAGCATTGATCTGGAAATAGTAGCATAATAAAAAAAAAAAAAAAAAGAAGCTAGAGCAGGGTCCTTGTCATTGATCCCTCCAGTTTGTTGGAAGGATGAGAGCATATACTGTTTGTTATGGATCTATTTGAATATATTTTTCATATGATAGACTAGCAAAACAAAATTCTATCATCACTTCTAAAGGTCTTCTTGCAACATTGTTTTACCCTACTGGGAAGAAATTATTCTCATGATATAGCTTTACATTTACATTGCTATTTAGGGAATTTTCAGATATAAAGGGCATGTTTGATGAGGACAGATGCTCATGGTATAAACGTTCATTGGAAAGTAATTAAATAAATGGGAAACAACAACAAATTTACCTGAGGTCCCTGCTGAGAACGAGGATCAAATGGATCCCCAACCACCCAAGTTTTTGCCTTTGCTGCTGCCTTCCTCACAAATTCATCATAAATCCCTTCCTGAACATAAACACGAGAACCCGCTACACAAATTTCTCCCTGAATTTCAATCCAATTATCAGAGTTACACTACCAAACTAAATAAAACAATTGTAAATAAGTAAAAAAAAAAAAAGAAAAAAACTTTGCCTTGTTATAAAGAATGCCGAGGAGAGCAAGATTAACAGCTGAGTCCACATCAGCATCATTAAAAATTATAAGTGGAGATTTCCCACCCAGTTCAAGTGAAACAGGCTTTAAATTGCTTTGTGCCGCAGCCTGCATAACTAACCGTCCAACTTCTGTGGACCCTGTAAAACTAACCTGACAAGTGATAAAAACGGCAAGTTAAATAGGGATTGTTAGTTGGATATCGATGTCCATACTATTTACATAATGAAATAGGGATTACCATATCAATGTCCATATGAGAACTAATGGCAGCACCAGCCGTGGAGCCATATCCAGTAACAACATTGAGTACTCCATCGGGTATTCCTGCCTGAGAGTTGGAGGAAGAGAAAAGAAAGAACATTAGATGGGTTATTTGAAAAATAATTCATGTAGTAAGAAAACTAGCACCCAGTTATGTTTATTTTATATTAATCAATCACTGACAAATAGGCATTGTAAGTTGAAGTCTACCAGCTTAGCAAGATGGGCATAGTACAAAGCTGAAAGTGGTGTCTGTTCGGCAGGCTTGACTATCATAGTGCACCCGGCCGCCAAGGCAGGGGCAACCTTCATGAAGAACATGGTAGAGGGAAAGTTCCATGGGATGATATGACCTACAACACCAATGGGCTCACGCAGTGTGTAGGCTTGAAACGGCCTTGACATCTTCAACATCTGACCATGGATTTTATCTGCGGCGCCTGCATAATAACGAATCATATTTGCTACTGATGGGATGTCTACGGCCTTCCCTGAAGTAAACAACTTCCCAGCATCTATGGCATCAATGGCAGCCAATTCTTCTATACTTTCATCTATTAAGTCTGCAAATTTCATCATTATCCTTCCCCTTTCCTGGTCATAGAGAAAAAAAAAATAAGCAGAGATCATTGACAAAATTAAGCTAATCACCATGTGTCATGAGATCGGCACTGGTAACAAGACCGTGTTTGGGATTGCTTCTTGGCCTAAACGGGTTTTTTGAAAAAAGCCACTTTTTAGGGGTGCAACTTAGCGGAACCAGCCTGAGCCCAGCCCACAATTTTACATCGGCTAGGCTTGGATTTTCAATTCTTACGATGGACCTGGGTCCAAAATTTTGGAATTTTTATTTTTAGAGTTGGACATGAGCTTTGCTCTTAGGCAGCCTGACCCCAACCCAACTATATTACATACATACATAGCCCGAGTCCAAACCCAAACCCAACCTGAGCCCAACTTAGAACTTAACCCGAGCCCAAACCCAATCCAAGTGCATCAAATTCCGCTCCATAGTCAAGATGCTATGCCCCATCCTCGATGACAGCAGGTTTGGGGTGGGGCACCCACTCCCCGTCTATGACAGGGAATCCTTGAATTTTTCCCGCCACGAGGCAACCACCTAAAAATAATCTAATTGGTGGATATTTTACAAAAATGGATTATGAGAATTTGGGAGTATTTTAAAAATTGAATTATGAAATTTGGGAGTACATTAGAAATGGAATGGGATCCTCGGATTTTAAGAATTGTTAGAAATATTTTACAAATAAGAATTGTTATCCAAAAAACAGACTTTAAGAATTTGGAAAAAAAACTTAGAGATATTTTAAAAATTAATATTAAATCTAGGGATATTTTATTAATTTACCATCGGGTTTGAGGAATTATATGCAAACCATGCTCCCGCCCAAGGTTCAAAATATCATCACATATCGGGTGATACGTATTGTATCGGAGTCTTCCCAATACCCCTAGAGGGGGTGTTTGAAGTCAACGAGTGGTTTAGGGGGTAGACCGGCCCCTCTGAACCAGATCCAAAAACAAAAATAAAATAATACCGGTACAGGCCGATACGCCCCCCCTATGTCGATATTTTGAACCTTGCTCCCGCCCCATCCCCATTTCGGGGCAAAAATATTCTCCCCATCCCCGCCCCTTCCCTGTTTAAGATCAGGGAAAGCTCACCCATTCGGGGCGAGGTAGGGCGGGGCCCCACAAGGACTCACGTTGGACAGATCAGGCTTGTCCTTGAACTTGCTCATTTTGGGCTTAACAGAGCAAGTCCAGCCTAGGTTAAGCTTAAACCCAGCCCAGCCTGCCCAACTTTTTGAAAGAAAGCACTTATTTTAGAGATTGGTTGGTCACACTAGTTTGAAAAAATTAAATGGTTTTTTCTCCTTTTTTTCTTATTTTTTCAATTGTCCTTTTTTATGCAAAAAGTCCATTTAAAGGTTGTTTTTCATCCAACGGTTTTTTTGACTGGATTTTGCTTTTCCAACGTGAAAAGCAATCTAAAGGCCATAATTTTTGAATCATTTAAATGTTGTTTTATATTTAGGGAAAATTTCTGATACTTTAGGCCTAATGCCACTTTGGTCCCCATACTTTAAAATATTATAATTCAGTACATGAACTTTCAAAATGTATCAACCGAGTGCCCACTGTTAATCAGTTGTTAAATGGTATTTGAAAAAGACAAATACTCTTTGAGTGTCATCTAATTTTTATTTTCTTTATAAAAGATCTAAATATTAACAAAAAGATTAACAATCCTAAATTATTTTCTCTTTTATTCAAAAAAAGTTGGGGTCCTATATACCCATTGAGATATTGAATTGTTCAATTTTAAAATTTGAGATTTCCTACTTTTTTTTCTATGTATTGCTGTAATTCTGGGCAGGTAGCGTGTGGGTAGAGAGTAGTGGGCAGGAAATCGGATTTGCTGTCTAACAAATAAAAGCTCCGCAATTCCGCGGGAAGGGAAGGGTCTAGTTAGCTGGCGCGCCTGTTTTTTCAACAAGGGAAAATCTATGATACTTTAAACCTCAAAGATTGCAATCCAACGGTTTTAGCATGGTGAAGTGTGAAGACCGAAGACTCAGGTCTATTCTATTGGATCAGTTCCCTCTATAAGGTCAAGGCCAAGTAGTGGCCTGAACCATCAGAAGTCAGAACAAATAAAGGAACAGAAAAGCACTCACGAAGCCAGTCATTCGAGGCCATTGTCCTTGGTCGAAAGCTTCTCTGGCAACCTTGACCGCCAGGTCCACGTCTGCTTTGTCTCCTTCTGCAACCCGAGCTATTACTTCGCCGTTTCGCGGATCAATCGTCTCAAACGTTTTTCCTGTTTATTCATCACAACATGACAAACCAAACATCATCATTCATCACACTAACTTACAAATTATATATGGATGCAATAAATTTTCCTTCCACTCTACCATGGTCCCCACCACTTGTTCCGTATGGATGTATTCTCGGTTTTCTGTTATTTTATTTCAATCGCTACAGTTGGTAGAGCCTGGAAGGCCCACATCTAACGTTCGATGGGAATCCATCTATCATGTACCATCGTGGTCGTTAAGGTTGACAAGATTGTCAAGTCTAATTGAGATTATTTATGCATTTATTCTTTAATTTTTTTTATTTAATCTTTACTTTTTATTGTTTATTCTTTAAATTATTAAATATTCAGGTTTTTATTTTACATTTAAAATTTTATTTTTTTTTACCTTTTAAAATTTTAATTATTTTTTAGGATGATCCGAGTTGACCCATGAATCAACCCTAATATGAACATTTAGGATTAGGGTCTATTTGACAACCCAACCCGAAATACCATGACTCAACCCGAATCCGACTCACACAACCCGATTGCCAGGTCTAGGTGTGGCAAATTATTGAGTCTATTGACCATTGACCAAGCTATCTCCACTGTTCAACGAAAGAGAGCTCTGACTCTCTGTTAGGACCGGTTCGGAACCGAGCCGGTACTCTGTCGTCGATGTCGAGTTCGCTTTCGTTAGCCGATGATCCAGTAGCTGAGTTGGTAACTCAGCATCCCTCCGAAGTCCGAATACGGAGGCGCAGGATCAAATCCGCCGAACCCGAACCTAACGTGCACCCTACCTCTGTAGTCTGTAGACTCTATACTCTGTAGAGGGTAATTGTCCCCATTCTCCACCCTGCCAACCCTGTTCCCCTTGAGTCCACCTTAATCTAACTATTGAGTCAGCTTTAATGAAATTTTTGTTTTCATCGGAAGAATTAGAACAGGCACTGAGTGGGCGCCTGGCTCCAGAGGTGATTCCTACATTCAAGAAAATTCGATTTCTTTCGGTTCCGATCGATTTTGACGTCGTATGGACGAAAATTATTTCACACTGAAATACTTCAGCTTTCTTCTTCTTTTCGGCTCACTCTATGGCAAGCCAAAGGACCTTCTCTCTGAAAAAGGGTTCTACCTTACGGGAGGATGAAAGGTAATTCCACATCTCGGAAAATAGGCTCAGTTTGGAAGGAGTATAAATACAAAAATCCCTATTTTCTATGTATTTACATTGTACATATTTGCATTTGTACTCCATGGTCTTAATTTATTGCCAGAAAACATAATTACTTCATTATTTAACAATTAACAAGAAAGAGGAGCTACGATAATCATCAAAGTTAAGAACAGAAATAGTGATTTGCGATTTAATGATGATTATCGTAGCTTTAAACATATCTCGCAATAAAAAAATAAATAAATAAAAAGCTAATCTCCAATATTTCGGAAAGATACCAAAAGTTAAACAATCATAATAGAAATCATATATACATCGCAAAATCAAGTTCAGTAGTCGAAAAGCATCAGCTATGTACAGACTTGTAAAACATAAACGGCGGAGAGGTAAAGAAATGAAAGAAATGAGAACCTGAAATGGAGTCGACGAATTCCCCGTTGATGAACAGCTTCGTGAACTTGATTTTCGGGATCTTGATGGGATTCTCCGAGTGGCCGTTGCTCTGGATCGTCATCCTTCTCTGTCTCTCCTTCGGACCTACTCTAAGGAAGAAGAGCCGCCGAGTCGAATTCCCCGTTTTGTTGTTTAACGCAGTGGAGTCACTACTTTATAGGGGCAGAGACTCAGAGAGGTGCTCCACGAATGACAGGATACTACCGTCGTGTATTGGGATGAGAAGGAGATGTTCCCAATGCGCGGCTGTAGTGTCTTGCTGGTTGATGTGGGAACAGTTTTGTGGACATAGATCTGAGCTCCATAACCATAGGGTCCACCCCTGGCGTGTTCATCCGTGATTGGTTTTGTGGAGCTTGATTCACACACTTGTTCGCAGCAGATCCCAACGCTTTCCATGTGCTCAGTGTAAAGTCAACTCATGTCCATCCATCCATGCATTAGAGTGGATCCATATAATGAGATCCGTAAAATTTGATTCGATCTTCCTTTTAAGGTATGGACTTTATAGGATCCAAGCCCGATAAAGCGAATACGGGTTCTAGACTTCTAGAGTTGAGGAGCTCTCTGTGAGTAAAAGGTGCCCGAGAACTCAGGAAAGCCTTTTCGGCATAGTTCAAAAGGAAAGGGAGTCCATTCGGAGTTACATCAAGCGGTTCAACGACGCTTGTTTACAAATACCCGACCTGGATCCTGCAGTTCGCCTCACCGCAGCCAAGTGAGGTATCACCCACAAAGATTTCAAGTGGCACGTAGTTGCCAATCAACCCAAGACCGTGACTAAGTTCCTCAAGCTCGCAAACCGGTTCATAGGGATAGAGGAGGAAATCTACCAGAAGGGCGAGCAGGCCCTTGAGAAAAGGAAGAGGGAACTAGAGACCCCATCTCAGGGAGACAACAGGAAGAAGAAGGACCAAGCTCGAGGGGCAAAGCCAAATCAGCCTTTCCGAGCTCTAGCAGTAGAAAAGGACTATACACCCCTCAACGCGAAACGGGCCGAGATCCTCATGGCAATCAAGGACTTTCCGTACGTGAAGTGGCCACCTCGACTGAAGGCGAACCCTAATGTTAGAAATAAAAATCCGTACTGTAGCTTTCATAAAGATCATGGTCATAGCACCGAAAGTTGTAAAAATCTCTGCGATGAGATAGAAGAACTCATCTGTCGTGGATATTTGCGAAATTTTGTACAAAGTAATAATAAAAATAATAATAAAGCAGGTCAGCAAGGGGAGTAGAGTAGAGATGCTCCCGAGTCCAGCAGACAAGCGGAACAGCCGCAGAAGCAGCCCCCGAAGAGAGACCAGTTCGGGGGACCATCCACGTCATAGTTCGAGGCTCGATTGTGGCGGGTTGTACCTCAGTTGGAGCTCGCAAAGCCGCCAGGGAAGAGCAGAACCCCCCAAAGCGGCCAAGGTTGGAAGACCCCATCTACTTCACAGAAGATGACGCGTGCAGGGTTCACTACCCCCATGATGGTGCACTCATCATAAATGTGAAGATCAACGACTTCGAAGTCAGGCGCGTCCTCGTCAACTCAGGCAGCTCGACGGACATCCTCTTCAAAGCAGCCTTCGACTAACTGCAGCTCCAGGAAAGCGACCTAAAGCCCGCGAACACTCCCCTAGTAGGCTTCAGCGGAGAGGAAGTCAGGCCCTTGGGAAGGAAGGATTACAGTACCCGTGGAGGTCGGCGCTTGGCCTAGCATAGTGAGGCTCAACCACGATTTCTTAGTGGTTGTGGTGTCTACCTACTACTTGGCCATGGTAGGTCGGCCAATTACCCATACCTTACAGGCTGCGGTGTCTACCTACTACTTGGCCATGAAGTTCCCCACAAACTTCGGAATCGGGAAAGCACGAGGTGACCAGCTTGAGTCTCGCAAGTGCTAAGTTGTCGCCCTTAAAGGGAAAGCCAAGAAGGATGATGACCTCGAGCTGGAGCGACCTACAGAGCAGAGCAAGGAGTGAGTTGTGCCCACAGAAGAGACCGTCTCCATCCCAGCCTCGACGAAAGACCCAACCCAAACTCTTCAGATCGGTGATTCTATTGAGGAGCCTCTACGATCTAAACTGGTACGCTTTTTACTTGAAAATTTAGATGTTTTTGCATGGTCTGCGGAAGACCCAGACCGTCTGGTGAACGCGACCTTGGGGCACGAGTTGCTGAGGTTTCTAGACGCTTATTCGGGCTACAACCAGATCAGGATGGACTTGGTAGATGAAGAAAAGATTGCCTTCATAACCGAGCTTGGCCTATACTGCTACAAGGTCATGCCCTTTGGGCTAAAAAATGCCGGGGCGACCTTTCAAAGACTTGTAAACAAATTGTTTAAGCCATTGATTGGCCAAAAAGTAGAATGTTATGTAGACGACATGGTCGTCAAAACCCATTTCTCATGTGATTTAATACAAGACTTGAATTTAGTTTTTGAAATGCTGCGTAGATTCAATATGAAGCTAAACCCGAATAAGTGTCTTTGGTGTCACCTCGGGTAAATTTCTGGGATACATCGTAAACCGGCACGGCATTGAAGCCAACCCGGACAAAATAAAGGTCATCTTAGATATGAGACCACCCCGAAAAATGAAGGAGGTTCAGAGGTTGAATGGCCGAACAGCCGCCCTAAGCAGCTTCATGTCCAAGTCAGCAGATCGTTGCCTACCTTTCTTTAAAGCAATTAAAAGCAAAGGGTTTGAATGGACCCAAGATTGTCAGCTCGCGTTTGACGAGCTCAAAAAGTACCTTGCTGGCATACCAGTCTTAACCCGGCCCGAAGAGGGCGATGTTTTAGATTTGTACCTCTCGGCAAGTGATGAAGTGGTCAGCTCGGTACTAATAAAAGAAGTAGATCGGGTCCAACGACCTATCTACTATGTTAGTAAAGTGTTGCAAGGAGCAGAAATGAGATATCCAAAGATAGAAAAACTGGCGTATGCACTAGTTATTGCAGCCCGAAAGCTTCGTCCGTACTTTCAAGATCATACTATTATCGTCCTCACCAACAAACCTCTGAGGCAAGTCCTACTCAAGTCCGAGGTCTCTGGTCGACTGGCGAAGTGGGCCGTTGGGCTCAAAGAGTACGACCTTCAATACAAGCCACGAACTGCTATCAAGGCCCAAGCCTTAGCAGACTTCATCGCGGAGTGCACTTTCAGCTCCGAAGTCCCCAGGCCGGTTGAGCACGAGGCTCCCAGTTCGGGCGAGCCCAGAGCTCCCAGGCCGGTTGAGTTCGAGCACCGTGAGGTAGCATCCAGTGCGGCATCTCTCCTAGTTAGGCCAAGCGCGAACTAGGATGAGCAGCCCTGGATCCTTCACGTAGATGGCTCCTCGAACCAGTAGGGCAGCGGAGCCGGAATAGTTCTGCACGGCCCAAGTGGCACGAAACTGGAGTACGCACTATGCTCTGAGTTCGCGGCAACCAATAATGAAGCAGAGTACGAAGCATTGATAGCCGGGCTATCTCTAGCCAAAGAAATGAAAGCCAAGCACATTATCATCTGCAGCGATTCCCAGCTCGTGGTCAATCAGGTCATAGGAGATTACGAAGCTCGCGAATCGACTATGATTGCCTACTTAGCCAAAGTAAAAGAGGCTATGCCCAACTTCCAGTCACACTTCATCAGGCAAGTCCCGTGGTCTGAGAACGTTGAGGCCGACGCCCTGTCCCGGTTAGCCAGCACCAATGATAACACCATGAGAACCGTGTACATAGAGAACCTACCTTGGCCTAGCATTCTCGGGGGGGGCAAAGGAGGTCGCTCCTGTCGTTCAAGCAGAGCCGAGCTGGATTGACCCGCTCACGAGCTTCCAGTTACATGGGACCCTCCCTGCAGATCGCAATGCCACCAAAAGGGTAGAGCATCAAGCAGCCAAATACGTCATGATAGACGAACAGTACCGAAGATCCTACACGCTCCCCTACTTGCGCTACTTGCGACCTTCCGAAGCTGAGCTCGTACTCCGCGACACTCATGAGTGTTTGTGCGGCGGACACTTGGGGGGCAGGGCACTCGCCCAAAAAGCACTACGACAAGGATACTACTGGACAACATTGAAAGCAGACGCTATTGAGCTCGTCAGAAAGTGTGACAAGTGCCAGAAGCAAGTCAATATCCACCATCAACTCGCTGCCGATCTCAAGTATCTCACCAGTTCGTGGCCTTTCGCGCAATGGGGCATCGATATACTTGGACCATTTCCACCAGCAACAGGCCAGAGGAAGTTTTTAGTGGTAGTAGTGGATTATTTCACCAAGTGGGTAGAAGCCGAACCTCTTGTAACGATCACAACCCGAAACGTTCAAAACTTCTTTTGGAAGAACAAAGTGTGTCGCTTCGAGTTACCTCGGGTATTGATTTTGGATAACGGTAAGCAGTTCGAGGACATCAAATTCCAGAACTGGTGCCAAGACATGGGGATCTGACAGAACTTCACTTCGGCCACACACCCTCAAGCAAACGGTCAAGCATAAGTCACAAACAAAGCTATCCTCCGCGGACTGAAGGCACGGTTAGACCGAGCTAAAGGACTATGGGCAGACGTGCTACCCAGTGTTCTATGGACTTACCGAACCACAGATAAGACTGTCATAGGAGAGACTCCCTTCAACCTCACCTACGGCACTAAGGCAGTCATCCCAGCTGAAATCGAGGTTCCCTCGCTACGACTAGAAGCATATGATGACAAGGCAAATGAAGATGATCTACATACCAACCTCGACCTACTCGACGAGGTAAGGGACCTCGTATACATCAGGACCGCAGCTTACCAGCAAAGAGTAGCTCGGTACTATAACGCCAGGGTCAAGAAGCGGAACCTCTGCGTTGGCGACCTGGTCTTTCGAAAATTTATGGTACCTGAGCCCAGTGTTGGTAAGCTCGGACCGAATTGGGAAGGACCTTACCGAGTGAAACGGGTACTTGGGGAAGGAACATACGAGCTCGAAACCCTTGAAGGGAAACAAGTACCTCGGGCATGGAATATTGTCAACCTAAGGCAATAGTATCTGTAACTACTGAGTAGACCATGAGTTACTCCCAGAGCCTAAGGGCCAAAATGCCGAGCTAACACGACCTCGGCGCAATAAGACTCAGTCGCCTCTATGGCATGGGCAAGCTACTGAGTAGACCATGAGTCACTCCCAGA